CGAGAAATGGAGTTTTATCTATCCAGGTGCCACAAACCCTTAGTCCTTTCCATGTTCAGATATATTCCTATTTTCATATTCAACTAGGATAATATTTAGAATTTCAAAAACCTATTGTTTTTTTAACACGTACTGGATTTTCATAATCCAGATTTCATAATTATCCTCATTCAGTAACCATATACTTAAATATAAAAATCATATTCAAAGGATAATTTAATATTAAAAGACCTAAGCACTAATTAATGCCAAGCATTACACACATCTATTTTGCCACAATGTTGCCAATAAAACAATGACAATCATTCACATAAAAATAAAACCAAAAAGTCACTATGTTCACAATCAAATTCCATTTTTAATGCGGTTGATTATCACTAATTTATTTCATTGTATAAAATCAACCATTTTAAGATAGAATAAATCAATTATCTTAAAATCCCCACTAACCCTAAGGTTACCTTTAATCAATAACATACATTGATTGAAATTCGCATAGACAAGTCTCATATAACATGTACGTACCAAACACATAAACAAATTTCACCATTAAGCATACTATGTTCACAATCAGTACGTATCACTTGTCTAGTGATTAGGATGGAATCCATAAATTCCTATGACAATTCCATATTCTTATTATCCATCCATGGAGATTCAAAAATTTTGTGTATGCCATTATGAAAACTTGAGCCAATAAAGAAGGTCGCATTCCTCATTGTCTCTTTCTCACAAAATAAAAAAATTCTTTATCAAAGTTATAACATTAGGATGTTTCCTCTTATTAGACATCTAAATATCTTTGAAAAATTTTTTTTGTCTAAGTGTAAAGATCGTATCTATTCAACATCATGTATATGTATAGATCCTCCTTATATGCATGTTGCCTAATAGTATTAACTCATTAATCTTGTTGTTAACCCTTAATGATATAAGACACTATATCATCATCATTGGATCCATTTGGTGCCGCGCTAAATTAGTTAGCAGCCTTATGGCTCTAAGTAATTACACCTAAGTCTTTATAACAATAGGAGTTTTCACAATCATTTTCATGATATTCTATAAAATATATACAAGAAATTTCATGAACACACACGTCTCATAATGATTAAAGCATATTTTAATCATTCTTATGCTTTTTCATCCTTTTAAAGTTAATTAAGAACTATCAAAATTTTTTTTAAACATTTGTTTATTAAATTTTTTATTTTTTCAATCTATTAAAAAAATCATGTATAAGAGTCGAATTCTCTAAGAAAATATTTGAATGCCTATTCAAAAAATAGGTTAAAAATCGATATTTTGCTTAGGGCATTCAAATGCCCTATCGAGCATTCTAATGCTTGAGTTTTGAAAATTGAAATCTTGATCCAAAATAATCCAAATGGCAATGGCGACATGCCATTGAATGTTTCAAAACATTCATAACAACTTTCTATAACAAAATTACACACTTTTATGCTTCATAGATTTTCGGACACATTTTAGTAAGAGCTTAAGAATATATCTATAATTTCGATGTTTCACGACAAACATTGTAATAACTAGGAATCAAGCCAACCTGACTCGGATACCAATGATGGATAATTTAATAATATGAAAAAAAATCATATTTCGAAATGATGCAAAAGACTTGAATTACAAAAGCATAGCAAAAGAGTTTTTATGAAAGAGTTATGGAAGGGATGTTGACTTAATTCACTGGTCAGGGACAAGTTCACACATTCAAAACCTATTTAATATCCACAGCGTAAGTATTTAAACATCAAAGCATGAGATTCCTTAGAGAGTTCACAAGGAATGCTTTATTCCTTTGCTTTGCCAATCTCTTTTTTCCTCTCTTATTCTTTATGTGACTTATCACATAGTCCCACGTATAAATGAGACCTATCTCATACTTTGTATAAATACTCTTTGATCATATTTCATCATGGCCAAAAGCCATGATTTGTTTGAGAGAGGAAGAGACTTCAACAATCGAAAATGCTATCTTTATTTTCATTTCAATGGTCGAATGCCATGATTCATGAAGGACATAATTGGTGGCATTTTTTTTTGTTTGATTGAACCGCACCATTTTAATTGCCCAAGGCAGTTTTGATTCAAAACCAATAAGCAAAAAACTACCTAAGGCAATTTACATTTATTGGAAGTTTATCCAACTCATGAATGGGCAGTTTATTCCAACACAAACAATTCCAACATTCTTCCCACTTTTAATACCAAGAGCAAACTACATTTTTAGACATACCATTTATTAGAAAATGTTACGAACTTTTACTTTTGATAACTAGGCGAAGCTAGGCTTACAACAATAAATAAGTAAGGTTGTTTTTCATTTTCATTTTTATTAAAAATAAAAAATATGTGAGAAAATTTGTTTGGTTGAAAAAATGGTAAATGTTTTTTAAAAAAATGAAAGGCAAAAATGTCAAAAAAGCTTTAAAAAAAATTTAATAATCATTAAGCCTCTGACATTTTATTACAATAAATCAAACTTTAAATTTTTTATTTCAGATTAGTGGAACCCTTAAATATTTATTTTCATGCAATTTTATATTTAAACATCTATTTTCACCCTAGTTAAGCCATTAATTACATGGAAATGAATATTGATGGTTAATCAAATTTTGTCTAATACGAGCTTAATCGGTAAAAATAAATGTTTGAGTGCTTAATTGATTGCAATAAAATGATAGAAGTTTGAATGATTATTAAATTTTTTTGTCTGAGGACTTTTTTTTACCCTTTAACCAAAATGAAAATGAAAATAAACCAAAATCAAAGAAAAAGTTTCATTGTTTTCAGTGAAAATACTTTGAAAAAGATGAAGAAAATGAAAACAATGGAATTTTTAAAAAAAATTACTATTCATTACAAATAGTTAAAAGATGTAGGTTCAAGTTACTAAAATTCAATTTTTTTTGTATTTTTTTTATATTGCATTTGTGATGTATAAATGAATAGGCCTAGTAGATAATTCATTGTTTTATTACATCATACAAAAACATTCAAATGTAATTAACATTCCTTAAAGTGTCATAGAACACTAAAAGTAACATTACTTTTGAAATATTACATAACATATATGGCAACTATTTTTCTCTTTATTGAAAAAATAAATTATTTATTATACAATACATATGATAATTAAATAGTTAATATATTTTTTAATATCTTCATTAATAATTATGATAATAAAAGATTGATTTTTTTAATAACACAGTTATATGATATGATTTGAATAATATATATATATATATTAAAAGTATATTGAACTCAAAGTTTAACTCAATTGGGTCATGCAAATTCTCATAAAAAAATGGTTTTCAACATGTTTGGAGTTCAAATCTCAACATTTCAACTTCTTTCCTTGTCCTTTTGTTTTTTTAAGTTACACTCATAATCAAATATTATATTCGTATAATCAACTACATTACTGAATAATCAACTAATTATTGAATAATAAACTAATAAACTATCATTTAACTAAATACACTAAACCTATACATAGTGAGACTTGAACCTAAGATCTAAAGGTTATAGGACCTCTACCTTGCTACTAACTAAGGCCTCGTTGGCACTCCTTTCCTTGTCCTTAGACAATTTTATGAAAAAAAGTGTATAATATAATCTTTTATCTCTCAAGATATATGCATTAACCGTGTATCAATAACTATATATTAAAAAAAATTTCATGAAATTATTATAATGACTTTTTATTTATCTGATAAATAATTGACATGTGTTGAAATTTATTATAATACCTCTCTGCAATAATTATAGAAGTACAACTTTTTTCATAAATAATTAAAATTACTGTAATGCTCTTTTTATCATAATTACAAAAATATTTTTTATTATAATTGATTAAAATCACAATATTGCCCTATATGATTATGAAAATACCCTTATGAATATTTTATAAGAAGTTGACATGTGGCATTATGTTTCAAGATTACTATAATATTCTTATTAAATTACATATTCAATTTTAACATAATATAAAATTAATTATATATTAAATTAAAATACCATTACCATTACATCGTAGAAATTTGACATATGATATTTTATTTGAAAATTACTATAAAACTCTTATTAAATTACATATGATATTTTATTTCAAAATTACTAAAATTCTCTTACCGTTGCTTCATAAAAATTTGACATATGATATTTTATTTGAAATTTACTATAATACTCATATTCAATTACATATTAAATTTTAACATTATATTAAATTAACTATATATTAAATTATTAGAAAACCCTTACAATCACTTCATAAAAATTTAGCATATAGTATTGTATTAAAATTACTATAATACCCATATTAAATTACATATTAAATTAATTGTACAAAACTTAACTACATATTAAATTATTATAATAAAATAAAAATAAAAAATACAATGTGATAAATATATAAAAACATTAATAAAAATTAAATTATTTTTTTATTTTATTTTAAATATTTTTACAAAAAAGATTTATGAACTATAATAATTTAAAAATCATACATTTTGATCAAATGATTAACAAAAATACGACACTCAAAATATAATATAAAAACTATATTTTAATTTTAATAGTTTTATAATATTTTTATTTATTTTATTATTTGTATATTAAAATAATTATAATATATTTAAAATAATAAAAATAATAATAAAAATTTTTGATATAGAAAAATAATTAATCCCAACATTGCAGGGCGGCTATTTCTAATTAAATATAAATTTTATTATTTTAATATTTTATAATATTTTTATTTATTTATTATTTGCATATTTAAATAATTATAAATATATTCAAAATAATAAAAAAATTAAGAAATAATAATAATAAATTTTAATAAAAAAATAGTTCACCAGGACGATCGTCTCTAGTAAAATATAAATTTTATTATTTTAATAGTCAATAGCCAGTCCATTATTTTCACAATTCACGTCACCAAAAATCCAAAAGAACAAAGTCTAACACAACTGTTAAAAAAAACAGTCTAACACAAATGCCGAACATCCACCTGTCCATTGTCTTGAACAAAAAGAAAAAAAAAAAAGAAGTTCCAGTACCACTATCTTCTCCAAGCCAAAACGGAAAAGAAAAAGAAATACAATTCAACCAATAATCTCCAAAATTTTGCTGTTAACCCCATTTTCAGTCTGTCCTTTGACGGCAGCTATAAAAGCATCGTCCACCCAAACATACAAAGATAAAAGAAAACCCTGTCGGTACTTGCTTCCAGATCTGCACTCCCCCAAGTACTCCCTCACTAGCCAGTTTCCAGAACCAAAAACACCTAACCCCAGATCTATCATTATTCTTTTCCTTCTTGCCTTTTTTATTTCTTTCATTTTTCTTTTTCTTACTAGTATTTTGTTTCAGCTTTTTTCTTCTTTGTTGGTTTTTGCCTTTGGATTCTGAAAAGATATGGACTCTGAGCAGCGTCGGAAGCGGAAGAGAATCTACAGGCCGTACTCACGTGCTCAGTTTTTGTCAGTAAGATCGTTAATCTTGTGCTTGTCTTTCTTGGTTTTCCTTTTGTTCTTGTCTTCGGATAGGTTTCCAATCCGGACCGCGTCCTTTCACCCAGTTCTCAGCGTCCCAAGTTTTTCAATCTTGTCAAAAAGTTCCCTTCAGGATTCTTTTCCTGGTAAATTACGGTTACCTTTGAGAGTAGAAGATCGAGTTTTGTTCCCTGATCACTTGCTCTTGCTTGTAGCCGGCAAGATTGATCAAGCTGACAAGTTGGACTGTGTTTACTACAAAATTTTGGATGATTCTGGTGAAATAGTCAAGGAGCGTAAAGATAAGGATATTGTCCATCAGGTGGTTTTGGCTATTGATGAATATGAAGGATTTAGATCGATTGTTAGGTGCCCTATCCCACCTCGGAATTATTCGGCTGCTGTGGCTTTGAGGCGGCGAGGAGATGGGGTTGATTATGCTTGGTCTTTGAGGAGTAATCAGACGGTTCATTCATGGAATAGAATAGTTTATGAGGCAGCATTTGATGGGAAAACTGCGGTTGTTTTTGTTAAAGGGTTGAACCTTCGACCCCATAGAGCATCCGATCCTACCCGGTTCAGGTGCCAGTTTGGCTTGGGGAATGGGAATAAAGATGAAGGATTTGTGCTAATGACTGAAGCCATAGCGGCTGCACAAGAGGTTGTTAGGTGTTCATTGCCGAGTAGTATAAGAAATAATCCAGATAAGGCTGAGGAAATTCGAGTTACTGTTGTCCATGCTGGTGAGAGTAATGTGGAACATGAGCCAGTGCCATCTGCGGTTAGAATTCACAATTCCAGATCCTACGTGAACAGAATGAATCAGAGAAGGCATAAGGAGAATGTGCCTATGCCTTCTGTGGCTAAATTATACGATTCAAAGTCCTACCAGAAGAGAAGGAAGGGGGGGAAATATGAGCTCTGCGCCTGCACTATGCTCTGGAACCAGGCACCGGCACTGCGGGAGTGGATTATGTACCATGCCTGGCTAGGGGTTGAACGATGGTTCGTTTATGACAACAATAGTGATGATGGAATTCAACAAGTCATTGAAGAGCTTGATTTTCAAGACTACAATGTGAGCAGGCATACCTGGCCATGGATTAAAACCCAAGAGGCAGGGTTTTCACACTGTGCTTTGAGAGCAAGAGAGGAGTGCAAATGGGTAGGATTCTTTGATGTTGATGAGTTCTACTACTTCCCTCGTCATCACCGGAGAGGTTTACCGGGTCAAAATTTACTGAGATCCCTGGTAGCAAATTACTCGTCATCAAGGACAATTGCAGAAATAAGAACAGCTTGCCACAGCTTTGGTCCATCTGGATTGAGCTCACCTCCATCGCAAGGAGTAACTGTAGGTTACACTTGCCGGCTTCAAAGCCCTGAGCGGCACAAGTCTATTGTGCGCCCTGATTTACTCAATGAAACTCTTCTCAATGTGGTGCACCATTTCCAGCTGAGAAAGGGATTAAGGTACCTGAATGTGCGTGAAGGTTCTATCGTAATAAACCACTACAAGTACCAGGTATGGGAGACCTTTAGAGCAAAGTTCTTCAGAAGGGTTGCAACTTATGTTGTTGACTGGCAACAAAACCAAAACCAAGGGTCAAAGGACAGAGCGCCTGGGCTAGGAACTGAGGCCATCGAACCACCCAATTGGCGGCTACAGTTCTGTGAAATCTGGGACACCGGTCTGAGGGACTTTGTCCTGACAAATTTAGCTGATCCTGCCACTGGAGCCGTTCCCTGGGAGAAGGCTCTTTTGTAACAATACCAAATATGGTTGCTTCCAGCCTTGTGCCCGTGTAAAACGGAGTCATGTCAGCAGCAAAAATTCATTCTTTCCATTTATATATGAGATCAATTGATTATAGGGTTCTTACACAGCTGTAAATATTGTGATGATGAAATAACATTTTTCCCTCACTTTAATTTCCATTCTAGTTAAAGAGTTATTGATGATCTTTCCTCTAGTTTATTTCTGTTAAAGTGGTTAGTGCTACAGCATCTTCATGTTTTTCTACAGATGAGAAGAAATAGACTAGGACATAACTTCAAACAATTGAACGAATTTAGGGGGACTACTTCTTAAAAAATGTTGGAAAAACTCATAATCCTATTTTATTAATAACAGGGCGATGAACTTGAATGCATGATGTAAAATGTTTCTGAAGACCTTATGGTGCACAATAACTGCATCCTCTATACATCATATAGAAAGTGGATACCAGATCGTTCATTAGTAGCTTCCTGGAAGCTGGAGAATTGAACTAGCAATTTGGAAGTTTAGCCTATTACAAAAATAAGCATGATCTACTTACTGTTCATGCACAGCCTACAGCTAAAAACACGCCATCGCAGGTTTTGAAGCGTCAAGGCATGTAACAGAACCCTTTTGTGTCAATACTAGACTTGGATATGTTTTTGTTTAAATAAGAAATTTTCAACTGCATATCCAAGAATGTTTCAATGCAAAGCATCAGAAGTTGGCAATAGAAATATTTTCAGGGACCAGAGCAAAATTGAATTAGTAATAACATGGCAGCATGTATGGCCCCGTGTCCAGAGATGTCTTCTGCCCTCAGTTCCAAGGAACATCACTGCCTGGAAAACCGAAAAATCCATAAACAAGAACAAAAAACCTTAAAATTTAGAGACTGAGAGGGAGAACAAAATTCACAAAGTAGAGAAAACAAAAAAAAAATAGCATATTATAAAATTTGAAAAGATAGACCACAAGAGCATGCAGTTTATGTTTTCATGTCTGCAGTTGTTGAACAGGATATGTGTTTGTGAACCAATATGTTGCAAATATTGCAGTCAATCCAAATTTATCCCATTGTTTAAAAGCATGAGTTGAAACTATGACCTGTCGATCTTAATCATTATTTTGGCTAGTGAACTCTGCAGTTTATAGTTTTGCCCTTTCAACACCAGGACAACAAGGCATGAAAAAGGAAAAGGAAACATTGCAATATGTATCAGGGTGCATCTTCTGTACAAAAATCAGAACGTAAGCTTCAAGGTAAAAGGCACTGATTCTCCTAGAAACCTGGACACTTTCACTAAGGCTACATATCCAGATACCATCAAATTGTCCTTAATAATATCATACTAATATTCTCTTCATGTCATGTATTCAGACGTATGATTATTTACTTGGTCTCATCAGCAACCAAACAGAGTGTGGTAGAGTTAATGAGGAAAATACAGTGACATAAAATTAAGGTAAAAATTGTGAGGGCAACACAATATGATCTTGCAATTTTATCATTGGCATGCATAAGCAGAGCATCCTACTTTTATACATAAAAAAGGTTGATGTTTGCAGTTGTCACAGATGCCTTCAGATAAGAATCAGCACTCTAGAAAAGAAATGGAAATGGGACGAGCTCCATTGGGTGTCATTAAGGGTTAACTTTTTCCTGATCAATCAATTTGTCACCAAAATAAATCTTTTAAAATGAAGAAAAGGACAAAATGCCCTATTTCTATATTCTAGAAGTAACACATTTTCTTAAAGTTTCATAATGTTGAATTGCAAAAGAAAAAAGGGAAATGAAGAACTACCTTAAACAAAAGCTGCAGTAGATCTTATAAACAAGAGATCATTGCTCATAGTTTGATTTGTTTCAAACTCACTCTTGCACCACCGATGGCATGTTGCTTAGGTATTTTGAAAGCGTGGCATCCAATTTCTCTCCAACATAAGTAATCCATGCCTGAAAATAGAGGCCTATCAGGTCAATAAAATTATTTTTTCAGAAAAAAAAAAAAAAGAGAAAGAAGAATTAAAAGAGAACAACCAAGCATTTGACTCAGTGGTGCGTGTATTCCCCTGTTCTTTGAGCAAAGTTTGAATCCCCTTTCCCCCAATCAAAGAAAAATTAAAAGAGAAGAGAGCAAGTGATAAACTACCATAATAGCAATCAAAATGGAGTTACTGATTAATAGGATAGACAATGTCTAAGAAATTAAGAAAATCTTTTATGCACAAGAGTCAAAAGTTCAATGAAAAGAATTATTTCAACTGTCAGAAAACAGAAGGCAATATATAATGCTTAAAATTTTGTACCATTTGGGGTGAGAATGACTGAAAAAATTGAAGTCATCATTTAAGTTTTAAAATCACCAAACCAGAATTCAGAACTGGATAATAACAAATGAACTACATTAAAAAAGTGAAGAACAATAAAGGACTTAAAAATCAAGTATAAATCTCTATTTTGCTCATCAGAACGAAAGAGCTAAATTTACAACACCCCCCCCCCCCCCACTCTAGAAAAGAAAGAGCAACTAGGAATGAAATATGACACTTATGGCATAAAAATTGCATTATCGGCCAGCTTAATACTAAGAAGAGATTGGATAATTGTCACCACTGAAAAATAAAGTACCTGGTCAGAAGTTGTAAAACCCCTAATTGTGTCCCCACCAAGAATTGCAATGCTACTATCTCCCAGTGGCTGCAAGATCACTGCCTTTAAAGTGAAAATAATATTAGTTGTCTGATCTATATATACGCACATAACATTATGAAATAGCAGAGGTAAGTTATTAGTGTTGGGTTCCCTAAATCGTGTAGTAATCATTTTCTTTTTTGCTGCTTTTTGGAATCTAAATGTTCTTTGAAGAATTAATATTATTTTATGTTATTAATTTTTTTTTTTGTATTTTATGAATTTTATTATTTGTTTATAGAAATTTAGGTTTATATTCAACATTTTATGTTTATATTACTGTAGATTAAGGCTGTTGATTAGAACCTCTATTCTTAGTTTTTGATTGCTCAAGTCATCAACTTTAAATAGAATTTAGGTTTTGGATCATATGAGGAGGAAATTATGAGTTCCCTCCTTGATTTGGGGCAAAGATTCCTGAAGGCAATTTTTTTGTTCCTTTTGTTATGACACAAGCTGTTATTACTCTATTGATACCATGCTCTTAGAACGTCATCCAGTTTGCCCAATTGGAGATGCAAGCAATGGAAGATGGAATGTTAAACATTATGTTGATCTATGCTTTCATTCAATTTAAAAATTCTTGTTTTCTTGTCTTTTTTTTTTTTTTCCTAGTCATGGTAGTTTCATCTTTTTTCTTAAAAAATCTAATACCTAGAGCTTTTGTCAATGGTTATCATCCATTCATTTGTACAACAACAACAAACTAAGCCTTGTATCCCATAACTATGGAGTCAGCTATATGAAAGGCCAAAAAAGAATCATGTTAGGCCGTAATTTTGAATCTTTTTATGCCACTCATTTCTATAAAAAAACAACCTTTTTATCTACTTCCTTAATCCTAATATCATTCCTTACTACTTGCATCCACATTTTTCATGGTCTACCTCTAAAAGCTTTGGTCTCTCCCCAATCCAAAAGCTTATTTCTCCTAACTGGTGCACAGATAGGTTTACATTTCACATATCCAAACCATCTCAAATGACTATCTCTCATCTTTTTCTCAGTTTGGATTATCCTTAATTTTTCTCAAATCCTTTTATTTCTGATTTTGTCTCTTCTAGTTTTACCATACATCCATTTAAACATCTTCATATCAGCTACACTAATTTTCTTCTCATATTGTTTCTTAAAGGTCTAACACTCACAACATCCATTCATTTGTATAAAGATTAAAAATTACTAATTAATATCAGCTTTGAATGTTCACAATTTTTGTGTTTTGAAAATTTCAGTTTAACTCACCGTAATATATTTGATTTTTCTTATTGCTTTATTGTGAGATGATACAGATGATTAATTGAGATGTGAACTTTGATTAAAAACTCATGCAGTAAGACTTATTTGGATTTAAGTTTTTTTTTTTTTTTGAAAAAAAATAACTTCATTTAATTTTTAAAATTTAGTTATCAATTTTATTACAATAGTTTATAATATTCAAAATTCATGAAAAAAAAAAAAAAACAACAACAACAGCAGCTTAATGTGGGCCAATTTCTAGTTTATAGCATTAAAGGAATCTCAATTCCCAGGAAAAGAGAAAAGCTCTATAAAGTGCATTAAAGGAATCCCAGCTATCCAGTGCATGAAAAGAAGGTGCATATGAGAAATAGTAAACATGAATAGAGACCTGAGTATTTGAAGGCAGAAATGGCAGTTCAGACCTCCCAGGGTAAAGAGACAGGTTGGCCAAGTAGCTCTCTGCAAAGAATTGAATTGAGTAATGGGAATCTAGTGAAAACTACATTCTACACAAATCACATGAATAGTTACAACATAAAAGAATAATTGAAAATCCAGACAGAAGTAACTTACGTGCTCCAGACTTCAAAACACCTTGACAAAGTGATCCCTGCATCAATTTAGCAGCATCCACAGCGAAAGGTTCATCATTCCGCAATTTAGCAGCCACACCAATTTGAGCAATACATTGGCAGTTGTAAACAATAACAAGAGACCTGCAGCATGTTACGGCTGAAAGAGATTCCCAAGCCCTGTAAACAAGAAACAACGGATATTTTTAATTTTCAAAACAGGACAGTAAGGAACTTTTTGTTAGCCAATTTAAGATTGTCTCATCCAATTGAAAAACAAATAAATAAACAATGATGCGTTACCTATTTGTTACCCTTCTTTCAACAATTTCAAGCAAGCAAACCCTACCACCTCCCATATTATATTACACCATCCTTTTGAATTTGAACGTCCATCTTACTATTTTAGGATGTTTCAAACAATGTCAACTTTCACAAAATGGAAAATACCTTCTAATGTTACCCTTCATTGAAGTACTAACTTTAGGAGGGCCTTCTAACTTTTAAGGGAAATAGTGGTACAATAAAAACCAAATACCTCATCCATGAAACTTTGTGCATATGAAATGAGGACAGTCAATTTGGCATGAACTAGTTTTTTTAACTAAGAAGCATCGTGATTTGCCCATTTAGAGGTCTACTAAATACAGAAATCAAACTACTTATTAATTAAAGAAAAATTTTGGGTTTCAGCAGTGCTCACAATGGTGTTATATCACAACAAAACAAAATATAGAAAGAAGAATAGATTAGGAGACAAATGGTTTTGATTTCAACCAGTTTGAAACCTAAAGTTCCAAGTTTATCCAGACAAAACCACATTATGCATGAACAAGCAAAATCTACAAAATGCTTATTTAGAATTTGGGGCCGTAAACAATTTGGGTACAAACTGAAACGGAGAACCTTTGACAGCAATTTTATGCGGCTTCTGAAAGTTCATTCTATTTTCTCCTATTAGGAGACATAAAAGCAATTTGCTGGAAATCACCCAAGTTAAGGAACAATGTCAGTTAAAGATACCCAAGCAATAAATGGATTTCAGCCAAAATGATCTCTAGCCAGCTAAGAATCCTATGATATGAACCATCTAAGCACTATACATTGTTCTGCGTTAAAATACAAGTGTTATATGATCAGTATATGTTGTTAAAACTCTCAGAATTTATGAAGCCACCATTGAAAAGCCATACAATTATGACAAACCAAGTAGAAAATGTAAAGAGAAGCATGGAATACCAAAATATCTCAGAAACAACCGATTCAGGAAGGTGACAATAAATTACTTGACACTCCACTCCTTGAGGGTCTACCTGATATCAGTATCAAGAATACATTATCTAAGGGAAAAAGGGGAAATAAACAACTACCTACTGAACTAATCAACTTAATGAATGTGCATGTGCAAGCCTTTTCTTTTGGGGGATTGAGGGGGGGAGGGAGGGGGAATAAAAAATCAATCAACTACCATTCAATTTAACATACAAATGAAAATGTTCTATGTGCATGGCTGCGGAAGAAACGAGAACAGGAAAAAAAGTATAGACAGGCCTTTACCGGAGTAATAGATTTTGGTCGGATTGATAACCATACTAGTCCAGTTAATATGTTGGTCACAGCCAAACCAAGTGTCAATAGATCTGCTCTTGACTGTGAACTGATAGAGAAAAAAAAAGCACAAACATTTAAGTATCTTACATTGATTACCACAAAAACCTCGAATAAAAAAGATTGATATATTAGTGGCAAAACCTTGAAATCAAAGAAAAATATAGTAGCATTAAAAAGTAAATTCTGGTCATAAAAAATTGTTCAATTGGGCACATATTTCTATAAATTCCTAAATTCAAAATAAAGCAACAAATTTTAGCTTCAACCTTTTGAAGCTCTTCATTTGCCTTAAGCCTACGATTAGTTGAGCAATTAATGCATCTGAAAATGACAATTACCATTAAACCAAGCAAAACATTAAATAAAAAATTTAGGTGCCCACCAATAAAGCGACTAATTAGACTAAAATTAGTTGAATGATTAATTCATTTAAACCGGTAGGCAATCCTCTAATCTAATTTAACTGGCAGCAATAAATTACCTGCTGGCATCAGCAACCGGAGCAATCCCCGAGACGGCACGGTTAAAGAGAACGGCTAACAAAGAGGCTCCTCCGACGTAGATTGGCAAGCTCCGAACGGCGTCGTCGTTCTTGGAGACCCAATCGGCAATCCAACCCCGGCTCGGCTTTGGTCCTTTGTAACTTTCCTTTTTATATATATATATATATATATATATATAAAGATATTAGTTCGTTGATAATTAAATTTTGAAATGCAGTTCAAAGACAGAGAGAGGGGATTAAGATTACCCGCTGAATAGAAGAAGCCCTAATAAAGCGCGGGAACTTGGGAAGAGGAGGAGGAAGTGGATGCGGGCAACCGGGGGTCCATGGCATGCCGATGTGGAGGATCCTTCCCGCTTCCATCGAAATAAGATTACAAAAGTAAAATAAAACAATTGTACAGATAATCAATCATCCACCCTCCAATACACGACCATCGTGAGAGCTGTTTTTAACTTGGGTCATTTGGTCGGACTTTGAACGATGTCGTTTAGGTTGGGTTGTTATTTGATCTCATAAATAATGTTTACGATGATTTTTTTATTCAAGTTTTTAACTATAATTCGTGATATTTTATAAAATTAAATTTTATTAAAATATATTTAAAAATTTCATCCAAAATTTTATCATCAAAAGCCAATTGGAAAAAGGATAAAAGATAATGAAGAATATGGATGGCAACGAGTTGGATCGAGATGAATTTTTATTCGTTTCGAATTCGATTCGATTTTATAATTATAAAATTTGTACCTGTATTTGACCTAAAATTTTTTTTTATCAAACTCGACTCGAACCCGACTTGTATAAAACGTATCCGACTCGATCCGACCTTAAATTAATAAAATATTATTTTTTAAATATATAAATAAAAAATTAAAAAAATAATTTTTTATATAATATCGGATCAAATTAGGTCAGATTTACTTAAAATTCGAACTCAACCTGAACCTGATTTTCGCTCATTAAAATCTAACCCTACTCGATTCGACCCAAAATTTGATTTTTTTTTAAATCGACGCTATTAAATTGGATCGAATCGAAATCGTTGGTTTTGAGTTGGGTTGCCAACCCTAAGAAGGAATGAGGGGCAAAGGCAGAGTCTATAAGAAACAACTTGAAAAAACAAGTGAAGAAAAAAGAAAAAGGGATAAGATATGAATTTATGGCTATATTTGTGTGAATGGTCTAAATTTACTAATAACCTTTCAATTAGTATAATTTTATTATTATACTTTTTAATTTTGAAATCTATTTATTATTTTTATTTCAAATTTTAGAGGAACTAAAGAATATTCAAGTAGAAAAATTTGTTAAAAACTGTTTTATAATTTTAAAAATCTAAAAAATTATGGCAAGGAAAAGAGGCTAAAAGTATGATGTGGTATTATTTTTAAAAAAAGTATGATGTGATATTGTATGCAGTAAAAAATATCATGATAAAAAATTAAAATAAAATTTTGAATTATGTGAGATTATATTTAATAAAACAGATCATGATAAAAAAGAAATTAAATTAATTGAATCTTAGTTTCAAGGTTATTTTTTTCTCACGTCATATATTTTCAAAATTATTTCTTGAACTGTAAAACAAATTTTTAATAGAATTTTTTGTTGCATAGTTTTCAGTTGCTCCAAAATTTAAAATATGATATTGATAGATTGATAATAAATTTGAACTGCTCATATAAACATCTATACCATCGATCTATATTATACTATTAACTTGTTTTTTTAATCTATACAATATATAAAATTTTTTATTTTATTTTTCATAATTTTTAATTTATTTTTAATTAACTTTAATTTTTTATATTATATTAATAAAAATATATAAAAATTCTTATTGATTTACTCTATATAATCATATATTCATAAATGTTAAGTTACAATTAAATAATAATCTATACATAATATATTATAAATAATATTGTTTAGCTAAAAAAATCTAAGCTTTTGTAAGTTTTCAAGAATTAAAAAAAAATCCTATCTTTTTCTTCAAAAAAAAAGTTCTTCGATTCATTTGCTAAACACTAAAAATTTTGCTACCATTTCTTTCTTGTTTGATAAAAAACCAAGAATCAATATTTAAATAGTTAAGATTAATTTTTTGAAATATTATTTATTTTAAATCATTTTTAACATAATTGATAGAGTATTTTTGGTGGATCAAATATGGTAGTAACCATTGTTCTTCTCATATCATCAATTGTAGAAAAAAAAATCAATAATAAAAAAATACTACAAAAAGAAATGGAAAATATAAGATTACATATTAATTTGTCGATGTTAAAAATTAAAAGCAAATATATTAATGAATTAATAGAGAATAAAAACATTACAAAAATGAATAAAACAAAAAAATACAAAAAGCTAATAATAATCAATTTAAACAAAATTAAAAAAAGTAATGGGCTAAAGGGAAACAAATAAATTAACCATATATGTAATATAAAAATATTTAAATTTGAATATAGATAAAACATTATTTTTTGTTCTCAAAAAGAAAAACAAATTTTTATCTAATTTTTTTAATAACATTCAAATGTGTCATCTTTTCATATAAAGATGCAAACTCTTATTACTTTAGTAGTACATGCTTTCTAATCAATAATTTATTAACTTTGAGTCAATCATTATATAAATTCTAAATAAGTTCTAATAGTTGACCAATTCAAATAACTGTTTATTTGCTTTTGCTTAATTATTAATTTCAATAGAAAACATATTTTGAGAAGTAATAAAGGTAAAAAATGTGCTTACTTGTTCACGAGTATAATATGGCTTCCGTTTCTTTTTAAGTTTTACCAATTCTTATCAAAACCAATAAACTATAATTGTCAAATAAAGAAAAGCTTACCTTCTTTAATTTCTAATTCTAATAATAACAAATAAAATAATCTTGGCTTGAATGGGATGGTCTTCATCCTGCTTTTTATTTTCATTCTCAAATTCTAATTTTAGTAGATAATAATTTATTAAGCACACACACACACATATATATATATATATTTGGAACCATGATTAAGTTGAAAAAATGATAAATTAAAATTTAATATATTTGAAAATGATAAATTAAAATTTAATATATTTGAATTTAAAATTTATGTTAAATTTTTAATTTTTGATATATTTTGATTTGAATTTAAATAATTATCCAAAAATATTAAATTTAAATAATTTATTAAATAAAATTATTTGGCAAAAAATAAAAATTTATTAAGTATATATTTTTGGAACTGTAATTAAATTTAAAAAGAAAGATAAATTATGATTTAATATCTTTGAATTTAAAATTTGTGCAAAATTTTTAATTTCATATAGATTTTAATTTGAATTTAAATAATTATTATATTAAATTTAAATAATTTATGAAAAAAATTTATTTGATAAATAAAATAATATAAGTATTATCTTATGTATCATTAAAAGAAACTATCCATATAAACATCCATATAAACAATTTTTATCATATAATTTTATATGTTATAATATAATATATATTAGATTTGGGGTCTAAGAAAATTGAATTTGACATTTGGTTTTGTGTATTATTTAATTTATTGACATGTGCCCTGAATTTGATTATTTAAAATAAGTTTTGCTTAGCGGATTTGGTACTGATTTTGGGTTAAAAAACCATTTTACTTTAAATGCTTCCACAAATTCTTTTCACACCCAACGCATTTACACCCAATTGCGTTATGAATCTGTGTTCCATTTTTTGGAATATTATCATCATCTAAAAAACCAGAAGATCATTTGTCATCTATTGTCATATTGCTTGCGATTGTAATTGAAGGTTTTTAGCACGACGAGCTCTTTGGGGCAACAGGGATCTAACTCAACAGGGGTTGTACTTTTAATTCCTTTGCAATTTCAAAATGTTTATGGTTGTCAGGTTTTCTCTCTTTGTGATATTTACTGAAATATTAGTATTTTTATTAAAAAGAATTAACAGAGCAGCAGGGAAAGAGGGTGAGGTTTCCATCTCTTAGGATTCCTATTATACTGTACCTAAAAGATGAATAACTCCATTGATATATTTGATAATTTCATAAACCACATAATAATACGATAAAAAAATGATATGAAAAAAATCATATATATGTTTTTAAAAAAAGTGTTTTGTGTTTAGTCATGTCGAAATTTTTTTTTTTACACGAAACAATTCGTGTCATAAACATGTTGATTCATCTAAACATATGACACAACACGAATAACAAGTTTAATTTAATTTTATTATACTAGTATATGTTTAACATGTTTAATATGTTTAACAAATTTTTTATATTTATTTTAATTTAATATAAACATATAAATATTATTTTAATTTTTAATCTTTTAATTATGATACTTAAACATTTAATTATAATACTCATTTAATAATTATTATAAAATTATTTTTTTATATTAATAATATAAATACAATATAAATATTAATATTAGTCCTATACATTATTATTTTATTTTTTTAATCTTTAATTGTTTATTATTTTGAATTTGATACTAAAAATTAGTATTGTTATGTAATATAAATTAAAATTTAAATATATATTAAATACATATTAAATGAGTATTAAATTTTTTTTAATTTTTAAATATATAAGAACATTTTTATATTATTAATATGTCAAATTTATAAAGTTGTAAATGATATATAGTTTATAGTTATTTATTATTTATGTTTTTGTATATATTTATATTAGTCGTGTCTATTTTTATATATTCATATTAGTTGTATCTATTCGTATATATAGATATTATTTGTGTTTATTTATATCATAATTAAACGAATTAATTATACACGTGTTAATCATGTCATGTCGCGTGTAACATGTATATTAAATACATTGTATTCATGTTTAGGATTTAAGTACATTTTATAATTGGTGTTATGTTCATATGCTAATAATTATTACACATGTTGAACATAATATAAGATATGACACGAAAACATGAATTATCGTATCTATCCATTTATTCATTTATAGTTGTTTTATTCCCTCGTAGGTACAATGGGTATTGTCATTTCTGTATGTGTTTGTTCTTTACTTCAATTTCTTATCTTGTGCAATGGTTCGGACTTTTAAAGTCCAATGACGTCTTTCAAAGCAATTAAAGCCAAGATATTTTTCAGTGCTCATAAATTTCAAGATATCATTGTTGAGTTTTTTTTTTTATAACAATAAAGTTGATCTCTGAAATATTTTGAAATCAATAGCCAGATATATAATGTTGTTTATATATTAATTGTCACCGTTTCATATTTTAACTTTATCTATTGTTTTGTAATAAATAAATGTCATATTGTGTCTAGGTTTGCTACTTACTAACGCAATTTATTGCTGATTAGGTAACTATGGCCTTTTTATATTTCATCTTTTTGTTACTACTAGTTAACAAGGTCCCTTGAACCACAGATTTCAAAGTATGACCAGCAGTAGAACCAACGCAAACTATGAA